CTGAACATCATTGTATCAAAAGTCAGTAAACAGCAGAAAAGTCAAAATTAGGTTAACAAAGTATATTTTTAATGTTGCCCTGTGTTAATATAATTTTGACGCTTATGTTGTTCAGCTAATTTTGGGACAGTGCTCGCTAGACCTTAATAATGTATTTTAACACGTAAGTATCCATTTCAATACTTATTTACACATCAATTATATTCTTAACCGACTTCAAAAAAGGAGTAAGTGCTCAATTCGATGCGTATTTTTTTTTATGTATGTACACCGATTACTCGAAGACGACTGGACCGATTTACAATTTTTTTTTTTTATTTGATAGGGTTTACCTGCCATTTGGTCCCATTGTCATGAGGTCAGAATCTGATGATGGAATTCTGGAGAAATCGAGGGGAACTTTCAATAATTGCAGGGGCGAGTTGTTCTTTTGTATGATGTTTAAGTAGGTCTTTTACAACACTATAACTTGACGAAGGTCGAAGTCGACCTGATGTTGGAGCTGGAAGACAGTCGAGGGATCTCCTTGACTATTTGGAGTAGTTGCCTTGTGTTTGAGCTTGAATGATTCGTATTGGCACTTTGCACCAGGCTTGCTCGTAACTGTCATTAAGGGTCTGATGATGAGAACGAAGGACAGGGAACTCCTGAACGGATTATAGTAACTACTTCGTGTTTGAACTTAATTCATATTGTCAGTAATCATACTAATATATTATATGAAATAACATAAACATCACTCTAACAATCTACGAAGTAGACAACTTTGTACACAGAAAATTTATTTTTTTGTTTGTGTTTACTTTTTGAAGTCGTTTGTTTTTTTTTCATTTAGGTAAATAGAAAATAATAATAATAACTATTTTTATAATCTCGCAGTAGGTGCCAAGTAAATGCTACATACCAAACAACAACAGTATTAGAAACGTGTATTGATAGTAATCATCATTGTTTTACTTGGTACCTGACACTTAATAGGCACCGATTTCGAGATTATAAAAATAGTTATTAATATTATTTTCTATTTACCTAAATGAAAACATGTATTACTTTGTACACAGAATATTAATTTTTTTGTTAAAAATTATTTTATTTCACCATTTTAAGTGATATGCAGAGCAAGCAAGGATAATGCGTTTCGAATGAGAAGACGACGGCTACTTGAGACCGAAAATCACGGTAATAGTAGTAATCCTTAGTGTTCAGTTCTGTAAATTGTTGAGGAATGCCCTCGACTGTCAATGGTCTTCATAATTATGTATACTGTAGACCTTCAACATAGTTACATAATCTATATAGGTGCAAAGTGCTCACCAATACGAATCATTCCAGCCCAAACACAAAATAATTACTCCAAATAGTCAAAGAGATCCCTCTACGGTCTTCCGGCTCCATCATCAGATTTACTGCATAACTTCATTGTAACTCATGTAGGTGTGAAGTTTTTACTGGAAACCGTTGGCGTTCCCTGAGCTGTCCTTCGTTGTCATCATCAGGCCCCTAATGACAGTCATTACCAGTCTTGGTGCAAAGTGCTCACCAAGAAGAATTATTCAAGCCCTAACACAAGGCAATTACTCCAAATAGTCAAGGAAATCCCTCGACCGTCTTTCGGTTTCATCATCATCAGGTCGAGTTCAACCATCGGCAAGTTGACGTAAATACCTGAATAACTTCAGAAAATAAACGAATCATGCCGACTGTCCCTATAAAATTTTAAATTTCCACTCCATTTTTCTGGGTTTCCATCATCAGATCTTGACCTGGTGAACATGGGACAACCTGGAAATCATACCCTACTGAACAAAAAAAAATTCAAATCGGTCCAGGAGCCTTAAGTAATCGGTTAACATCAAAAAAAAAAAACCCGACGAATTGAGAACCTCCACCTTTTTTTTAAAAAATTTTAAATAAGTATTGAAAAAGATACTAACGTGTTAATATACATTATTAAGTTACACTGTCCCAAAAGTAGCTGAACAACATAAGCGTCAAAATTATATTAACACAGGGCAACATTAAAAATATACTTTGTTAACCTAATTTTGACTTTTCTGCTGTTTACTGACTTTTGATACAATGATGTTCAGCGACATTTGGATTGATGGTGTACAGCGACTTTAGGAATACTATAGTGCACAGATACTTTTGAATTAGTCGTGTTTAACGACTTTTGTAAATTTCTGGTGTACAGGCTATTTTGTTTCCTAGTTGCGACTATAACTTATGGCATTTTATTGTGAACAGGTGTTTTGGAAAGTTGATTCTGTTCATCGACTTTTGGAGCTGACTGTACTCCTTGCGAAATTTCATTCAGATCTGTTCAGTACTTAGTTTTTACGTGAAAGATAACAATCATCCATCCATTGTAGAGCCATTGTACAAACTTTCACGTATATATTAACAAGTTTTATTCATTTACTAAGTTTAAATTTATAACCTTAAGTGCTCTATAATTCTTAAAATAAAAACTTCTACGGTTCACCTCACAAAAATACCTTCAATTTTATTTCCACTAAACAACGAGCTTTCATTCATAAAAACTATCGAATAAAACTCTACCATTTGTTCGCAGAGCCGTCGAAAGCCGCGCGATTGATGATACGAATCAATTATGAAGGTTCGCGGACTCGTGCACGCACTAATAGAAAAGGTCGCGTGACTCCGAGCGTTAGCGTGTAGCGTCGAGTGGGAATATGGTCCTGTGGCAGTCCTCGCAGCGGCCTATGTACGTGAGGACTGTGTGGGTGGGCGACTACCGACACGCCATACTCACGCACGACGACCCTTACCTGCTCAAACTACACGCCAAGCGACGCCGGCCAAACTCCTCGGCGAGCTGCACCACCACCAGTTCCCGGCTCAGCCAGCGCTCCGACGACTTACAAGAGTGTTTGAGGAAACTCAACCTGGTCCTCAAGAGTGACAAATCCCGCATTAACCAGAGACCGGTAACCGGTATAGAGCGTCTCAACTTGCATGACGTGGATCAAGACTACGACGACGAACTAATCGTAAAAGCCAGTCCACAGTCAGACGATTGTAACGAAGCTAATTACAATAGCCTCGACATCAACATGAGGAACCTGAGAGCGAACAAAACGGCGAGAGTCGACGCTAAAGAGAATACTGAACTCTCAGAACGGGTTCTACAATGGTTGGACTTGGCGGGCAAAATAGATTTACTCGCACCAGAAAATGTGGAGCGAATGTCTCAGCCACGACACAGCTGGCCGGAGCTGCAGCGTCGAAATCATAATTTGTCAAAATCTAAAACAGCTATTGACGTACATAAGGAAGCCGGGCGCTCATCGCCGAAAGGGGGGGACAGTCCAAAAGCGCAACAAAGTGGGAATATTGATCGGCATGAATTTTATGTGCCGACGTCTGCGAACACGATCGAGAACTACGCGCGGCAGTCACGAAACTCCAAGAGCACGCCACGGCACGAGACAAATTTCAAAATAAAAGACAATCACAACAAAACAAAGTCCAGAGAGCTAAGAACCAATGTGACGGAGACGCGGCTCAAGGTGATCAGTGAGAAGAACGCTGTTGAAAAGCAATACGCGGAAATGTTGAATAAGAAGCTGATACCAGATGTGAGCAAGAACCCTAAGCGGCAAGTTCACATCTTCATGCCGGAGTTGCCGAAGAAACCGGAGCCTCCAGCAAGTAGAACTGAGAGTTTGCTGTCACAACCCTCGTATAAAAGTTTGAAGTTTGACACGACAGTAAAAAAGTAAAAGTATAAATTATTAATGTTTTTTCTTCTGACCTTCCCCCAAAGAGGTTATCTAGGAGTATCTTCACAATAAAAAACTATACCACCACTAAATAGTATAAACCAAATTCGATTTCTCTGTCTATATATCCCTATGTATGCTTATCTTTAAAACTACGCAACGGATTTTGATGTGGTTTTTGTAAAAAACAGAATGATTGAAGAGGAAGATTTATATGTAGGTATAATAACATCCGCTAAATAATGCAGAAATACAGTATCGCGGGTCGCTAGTAAAAGCTGTAATTTGACACAAAGGCTGCAGCCATTTATGCGACATCTATACGCTTCTTAAGTTTTCTGACGAACGCGCGACTTCGAGCGCCAGCCAGCAAAAGGCTAACAAATGAAATTTTATAGTATTGCAATGTTTATTACGACTTGGTTATTACTTAATCGTAAACAATAAATATAGTTTGATACAGTTTTATAATCAATTAACCTTTTGCAGCTAGGACAAAGTTCTTTGTACTAGTAATAGTATCTACTTGAACCTTGTATATTGTATAATCGATATCTTTTTAAACTGTAATGCATTCGTAGAGTTCAAGCACTTTAGAAGGATGTGAAATTTTTGTAGAAAGGTTTTGTTGTTATTTATGGAACTTGCAATATAGTGAAGGTAAAGTGACTATAGAAATTATTGTTCGGTACTTACTTATTTTTATTTTATTTTATATTTTATGGAAAATGAAAAAAAAAGGTAACTAGCCTTGACGTAGGTAGGTAATAATCTTACGCAAATTATTTATACCTACTAATCAGCTTAAAATTGTTAAATAAAAAAGATAGAGTTGGAACTAACACATACGTAAAAATAAATACATCGCTTGAGTAACTTAGGCTTACTAAAAGTGAAAAAGTCAAATCATTTATTTCAAATAGTTTTGAGGAAGAAGAAGAAAGATTTGAACGTCAAACTTTTTTATGGGATATGTCGGCAAACGAGCAAGTGGATTACCTGATGGTAAGCAATAGGCGCCGCCCATGGACACCCACAACGCCCAAGAAGTTACGAGTGCGTTGCCGACCTTTGGGTGATTAGAGTCTTAGGTGTTTAAGGATTGGAGGAACAGAAGTATTGGGCTTCCGATAAACTCACTCACACGGCGAAACACAACGCTGTGGTTGTTTCACGCCGGTTTTCTGTGAGGCCGTGGTATCATTCCGCTCGAGCCGACCCATCCTGTAAGTACTTTGAGAAAATCCAACTTACCGAGAACCCGATGGTAGCGACATCTCTGGCTTGGAACCGAGACCGTAGCGGCGGATCTAGAGGCTGTCCACTGTAACGAGGCACTGGTAGACCTAGCGCAATCACACGGAAGTTCTCGTCAACTCGGACCAATCGCCATCTTGACACTTCTTCAGCGCCGTGTTCCTAATAAACAAGGGAACAATTTTGTATATAGATCATATCATCGGCTATGTAGAATGGCTGTTAATCACTACATGGTATAAAACAGAGTCGCTATCTCTGTCCCTACATCCATATGCATGCTTAAATCTATATCACGGATTTTGATGCGGTGTTTTTAACAGATAGTAATTTTTATATGAGTATTAATTAAATAGTGGAGGAATCTAGTATCAGCACTGCGTCAGGGCAAAGCCGGGGCGAGTCGCTATTATTCTATATTCAAAGAAAACCAGATGAAGAATTTTTGTTACTGTACAGTACTAATTATTCTGGAATAAAAGCAGAAAATAGCTCAGATTTCTGCCTCTTTAAAGTTCAGACATACAACATGATTTTATGTAAAATAAATACACGGTAACCAGTGTCATTTGGTATGATACGGTAGCTATAATTCTTTTATTTCTTATTCATTTTTTTAAACAATTGCCCTAGGATTTTCTGCTTTCTGCTGTATCGTGAGTGCGTTTCTAAACATACACAATGGATCAACAATTTGTGGATCACACAAAGAGTTGTTCCATGCGGGAATCGAACCCGCGATACGTTGCACGGCAGCTGGTCAAATCCGAATCATCATCATCATCAACATCGAATTTTTAATATCTAAAGATATTTATTTTTAATCCGGTGATTTACAGCTTTATGAAATCAAGTGAGAGAAAATCTGAGGAAGCTATTTTATTACAGAAGTATTCTATAGCGGGTTAAATTATTTTTTTACTACGTACCTCCAAAAGTTTGTCGTATCTAGATGCTGGAACTAAAAACCTTCCATCTTCTAAGTGCATCTCCCTGTTTTCGAGCAAATTATTTAGTACTGGCAACACATTGCGCTCCGCCTTCTCAATTCCTTCCAGAACGAGCACACGGCCTTCTACTGCAGCGCGGACTGCACTCTGTGGAAGAAGATTGAATGTAATAGCTATAATTTTATGTCATTTTCGAGCAATCCCGAATGGGTGAGTATTATTACAAGAAATTTTAAACTGTTAAGCATAATATGTATATAAACAAACGATTTTCAACTTTAATACAAAACGATAAAGCTCAAAATCTTCAAGTTGAATTTATAGGATTATAATTTATTAAGATTGGCGTTCGAAGCCAGGAAATTCAATTGAAATGGGTGTATTATATGTGTTTATTATTATTATTTTATTACAATATTCTTGATGTCCATGGGCGGCGCCGATCGCTTACCATCAGGTGATACGTGTGCTTATTTGCCACCTATTCCATAAAAAAAAATTGAAAGTATAGAAGTCAGTTTACCTGATCAAAATACTTCGCAGTGGAGCTCTGGATCTCTCGCCTCTGTTTGAGGTCAGCCTCTGTGGTGTCTCTTGATAGAGCCACATACTCCAGCTCTCTCTGTGTCAGTTCCAAGTATTGTAATGCTACTTTTCTCCTAAAAACAAAATTTAAGTAATAAAGTAAGTACATAATCATAAATTTACTCGTAAATTGTGCTTATGACTATTTTGTATACTAAAGAGGTTTTTTGTCTGATTACTAGTGATATATTTTTTATAACATTTCCTAACTAAGGTAACAATCTAATTGTTGACATTCATACATAATAATATAACTTCTGAGTAATTTTAGGTTTTTTAATAAAAGTTATTTAAATTAAGTGTTGTGTGCTACTATTTTATTTAGAGCAAATTAGGTATTTACTGTTTTATACACTTATACCAACCAATTTTAACTCAGTGCTAATTCACAGTAACAATTTTTCAGCAGTTTGAGAATTTAGGAATGTCACTGTAGATAGTCATATTCCTATAAAATGAGGTGAGATGAAGAATGAGCAAAAAACACCGTTTTAAAGTGTAGGCATTATTTACCTCCTGCTCAGCTCCATTTGACTGTAGCATGAACATTGTAGCTATCTATCAGTGAAAAAATCTACAATACATAATTCATACAAACTTATAAATTTTACCTCTTTATAATGTAAGTATAGATAAAAATGATGCCAGGGGAAAATAACTATCTTTCTATACAATATTAGAAATCTAAAGTATTTTTCTTCCTCATTACTGCATCTCCCACATACATAACACTACAAATGTATTGGCAATCAGCAAAACAGATCTAGAATATTATCCTTTGTTCAATGTCCAAAGTCCTATGACTTAATCACAAACATGTTGTGTTTATTTTATAACATGATTTTTATGATTGTACTTCATTTTGTTGATAAATTTTATAACATTAAATAAGTGATGTCATGAGAGGGGGGGGGGATAAATATTGAAAAGATAGATAGAAGGCATATTAAAGGATGATATAATATTGATTTAATAATAACAGAAAGGGAGCACACTTAAATATTCTCATCTTATTAAATGCTGCTTTTTACCTTTTTTCTAAAGAAGTAATAGTTCCCTCAACTAAAAAATTGAGATAAAAGAGCCACAATTTCTTAGTAATAATGAATGTATGCTATCTGTACACATACCAGAGCGGTAACACTAATGATTGCAGTTTTTAAGGGTTGAGTGGCAGTCTGTCGTAACCATGATTACTTAATAAGTATAATCTTAAAACTTACCTGCTTGGTCCAGGTCGTCCAAGAAGGAACATATCTTGCCCAAGCAAATCTTTCTGCATCATCCATCTTAAGTTTCTTAGTGTACTTTGTGATAAAGACTTAATTTCCGTATCTTCTATTGTTACTGTAGATATAAAATAAAAATGAGAATAGTAAATAATTACACAAAAAAAGTAATACATTTTGTAGCTAATGAGTTCTGATAGTAAAATTTTTACATTTTAATTCCAAGTTTTAAATAAAATAAGAATATTTTTTTACTTTATTTGTTTATTTACAGCCTGCAGTTATTAGGTACGCAGGTAAAAAAATAAAGATTGGTTCAGTACAAACACAGTTTGTGGTACTTAGTGTATAATGTTTTTTAATGATATATTGTTTGTAACTTTTGATTGCTCAGTCGCCAAGCAATAGATTCTGGCGCTGTACTGCGTATATTAATTATGCTCACTGTTCGACACTTCAAACCAGTGTTAAACAGTTAATATAATATATGGTTCAAATTGTAAAATCAATGTTCTGTTCCGGACATTTATACTAAAAAAATATGCAAACCCATTGAAGATTGTAATATGTTTAAGTTATCCTAATTATGTTTAACAATAAATAATGCAAAAACATGGGCTAAACAGATTTTTATAGGTTATGAACTAAAGTTTCAAGGTAACGACTTACAGTATTTTCGAGGCACATATTCAACTTTTTTGGGGCTCTTAATCTCCTTGCTCACATCTCCAATAGTAACTTTATCTTCGCTAGAGTAACTTCTCACTGGATTAGCAGCTAATATTACTTTGCGATTGCCTAAAATACGAATCAAAACATCGATTCTTCGAACGGTTATTGCGGGATTATACATTGTTATATTTACATAAAAAGAACACTAGGTAATGGTATTAAGTATATATTTTAATATTTAAGCCATTACGTAATTAATAATTGCTTATTTCATAGAAAAATATACAATAATCTACAGGTCAAAGTCTAAAACATAATTGATATGTTGACAGCACGTTGTCAAACTTAATGACAGATACAACACTCAACAGCTGTTAAATATGCGTTCAAAAACCATTATTTTCAAAATAAACATTTTTTATGAATCATATTTTTTTACATGTCAAGCTTTTTGCTTAACCGTTATTTTTTATCTCATATTTAATTTTGCTGCATAGTATCTTATTAGAAAATATGCCTTTATTTGAAATTGTAGTGCGCAGTATGATGTCGCCCAAGTTTTCTTTTGTCACTAAACCAGGATTATTATTCAGATCTATGTACAATCAATAGACCTCAAATCAGTTAAGATACAATTCATGAAAGTGCAATGTATTTCAAATTCATTGTAAAAAGTACCTACTCAGGATATTATGGATAAAGAAAATACAACGTAAATACAAAGGATGACTTTATTTAACCGACCATATTGAACTAATCGATACAAAATTTGTTACTTATAATAATTATAAATTTGTAATTAAAGCATTTTACTAAACCAAATAAACAACATAAAATCTTTCCTTACTAGCTAACTAATAGTATAAAATAAAAATAGTCTCTCTTACAAATAGAAAAAATCTATAAAAGGCTTTAACGACATAGGCAGTGAATGGTTCACTCAACAATGAGCATGTTGCCTTTTAGTCTTTAGTACAAAATTCCAACTGGTTAGGTTAGGTAACATTCACGAAGTTGCCAAGTTCAACTAACGAATTTATTTAATACTGAGGCAACATCCTCATGGCTGATTGCATGAACGCTGGTTGACACGTTTCTTCACGCGAGTAGTCATAGCCAATCACATTTATGACATCTTAAAGGATAACCAATCAGTGCATTCCGTCAAGTCAACATATTAATTTATACATACAAGAAAATATTATACCCTCAAAACAATAAACGTATCTACCAACACACCTAATTTCCTTTAAACTAGCTATCTAATAATATAGGAATCTGTGTCATTTGTAACGCTAACACGTAGCAGATACAATAATAATACTATTTAATATTCGAAATTTCATACGTAAAAAAGAGGTTGCATAAAAACCTGTACGAGTTCAACGGAAGTCTATTTCAAAAATGGAACTTACTACTACCTAAATTGAAATATTCTAGAACAGATCGGGACAGATATAATAAACACAGCAAATCACAAACGTTAATTGGTTACTGTAACAAATGCGTCGTAGCTCCGCCAATCACATTACGATACTTCCAAAAGGGACCAATCAACAGTCATCTATTTTTATGACGTATCTCGCTCGTACTTTGGTCTACCAATAGGAATTCTATGCAGTGAACAATCCTAATCATTATGATCATTGATCATCATCCACTGGCTCAATTTTGACGCTAACGAAATCAGTAGGTTCTAATTCGGGATCATGTTCAAAATCGTCATCATCTTTAGCTTCAACCTTTATGACGACTTTGTCTGGTTGGGCAAAACTTGATTCTCTTTCACTCTCTTGGGACTGTTCATCATTATCGTTATCATTGGACTGTTGTGAATGTTCGTTAGGCGTATCTTCTGCTGTCTCGCTCTCAGGAGCCTGCATGGGAACTCGTTCTGGAAGTTGATTCTGATTAGTTAGAGTCACATAATTACTCATTAATAGGTCGTCCATTTTCTTCTTCGGAGGTCCAAATATACTGGTCATTAGAGGCTCGTCGAGACCAAGGTTGCACTCTCTCGGGTCCAGTCTAGTGTAGAACTCTTTAATGTTCGGCTCAGTGCCCTTGAAGCCGTGGCGACGTCGGAAGTGCTTGATCATTGTCCTCTTCACTGAATAGGCTTTTGGACACATTTTACACTGTAACAAAGCAATACGACGATGTTATTCAAGAATTTTTATAATTATAGCACATATCTATATACATAAAAATGGATCGCAAAATGTGTTGGTAAGCGCATAACTCAACAACACCTGGACCAATAATGCTAATTCTTTTTTTATGTTTGTTATTGTTAGGAGAGGGTTTTTATCAAAGAAAATATTAGAAAAGTAGAGGGGAAAATTGGGAAAGAGTGAAGTGAGATAGTTGGACCCGTGCGAAGCGGGGGCGGGCCGCTAGTACAATATATAATATACAATAATTCGTGCTTGACAGTCGTCTTTATACCATAGCTCAAAGCTCAACCAAAAGACGAAAGATTATAAACAATCTTGCCAAGCCAATATAGCCTTTATTACATGTGCAACAAAACCTTCATGAATCGTCCACGAAAAAGGTCTTTGAAACCATCCTGCCATGCCAAAACAGGCTTTATTACATTCCTAACTCACCTGTATGGTCTTCATATTGCTGTGAGTGATGACGTGATGCCTGAGCCCAGCAGGGCTGGTGAGCATCTTGTTACAGATGGGACAGGGGTGTCGCGCGCGCGTGTGACTCGTGCGCAGGTGACGTAGCATGTAGCGCTCGTCTTGATACTTGCGATCTGTTATAAATAATGTTTTTTTTTTATTAGTAAAAGAGGGCTCAAAATTACTAAGTAACTACTTGACCCAATAGTTTATCAGTATTTTTCAAAATTATTCTGTATGCTAATACACTAAGACTTAACTTTTTAAGGGTCCTCTTTTAACCACCAACCATATTTTTTTTTCAAAACCTCATAAATATGGTTGTTTCAGACTAGTCAAATTCAATACCTCCTTATAATAATATATAGATGCTAAATATGACATCAAACTATGAAATTCCTATAAAATCGTAAATTGTGACGTCACCGTATTTTGCGACAAAAAGCTAGTAAACATATAAAATTAATGATATGTATTTTTATAATTTATTTTTGACTATGGTATCCACCCAATTGGTATTTCGAACTTACCACAGAGAGGACATTTGATGAGCTCCTTCTTAGGTTCATGTATCTTCATATGCTCGCGCAACGAACACGCGCTTGTAAACAATTTGGAACATACAGGACATGTTTCCAGATCTGAAACAGATTGCAAAATATAGGTATTACAAAAGTCACTTAAAGCGTAGTACAAGTTGCATTGTCAGCGCAGTGGTTAGGCGATTTTGGGAAGGCAATGTAACGCGATTTCGGTTCCCAAAAGGAATAATTCTTTATTTGATTACACAGATATGTGACTCTAACGATAGTGGAACTTAATACTCTCGCGCGGTTTCACCCGCCGCTAGGCTCCATTTAATCGTTGCGTGATTTTTATAGCCTATAGCACTCAAGAACATTGTAGCTATCTATCAGTGAAAGAATGTTTGGCAATCCGACCAGCGGTTCCAAAGATTGCCCCCTACATACAAACTTACAAATTTTACCTCTTTATAATATTAGTATAGACAGTATAGATGAGGCGGGTGATGATTGGGTAAAGATAAACTAAAGTAGGATGTTTGATTCAGATTAACGCAAGCAAAGCATAATAAATAGACCCGTGAAACTAATGCAGTGAACAAAACCATCTTTATTGGACTTCCCAATCATTAGTAGCTGTGTCCATTGAGAATGTTCTTTAAGGATTTTTCGACGTTATTCAATTACTTATATAAAGGTCTGGTTAAGTTTTTTAGTCAGAAATCTCCAAATCCCTAATCCTCAAAAGGTTGGCAACGCACTCGTAACTCCTATGTTGAAGCGGATGTCCATGAGCGACGCAGTCAGACTATCATAAGGTAATCCGTCTGTTCTTTTGCCATTCTATCGCATAGGTAATATATAAAAGAATGTACTCACTCTCTCCCGTATGCTTTCTAATGTGATATGTAAGCTTCGATTTCTGCACGAACGTTTTGCCGCAGTACATACACGCGTACGATGTGTCTTTCAAGTGAGTCCTGTAATTAACAGTCCATTGCGTTATTAAAATAGCAACAGAAATTAACGTATAATTTAGAAGGATAAACACATATTTATTTTACCAAATATTAAGCTACAGGTAATTATTGACAAATGGCCGTAAGCGACACTAGCGCCACTAAATAAATGCGAATATAATTGTTGTTACTATACTACCAAACATAGAACACAGATTATCGTTCTTATTTTGCTTTTTTCTGGGTAATTTTTAATGTTGAAGAATATTAAAAGAAACTTGTTACATAATATTAAAAAAAAACCCTGTTTCACAATGACTGAAAACTTACATATTATGGACAACTTACTATGTAGGTAGGTGCCCCACATGCATTTAAGAATAGAAAGCAATTCATACACTCACATAAGTTTACCGGGAAGTTTCAAGAAGAGAAACGGGCTTCTTGTGAGGTAAACATCATCAAATGACTTCTTCCGCCCAGAGTATGGCGAGAGGAAGTGCCACACACTTACTAACTAAAAACTGACAATTTTTCAGTTTCTACGCCTGCTTTAGGCCGAAGCCGCGATGTCCCGCCCGTAACCCCGGCTAAAGAGAAATATATTATAAATTACTATAAATTACCTTGCATGAGAATTACAAGCTCCTTTATCAGCAAAGCTCCTCGGGCAGTGTGGACAGGCGTACGGTCTCTCCCCAGTATGTCTCCGTTCATGTCGCAACATGTTGGAACGTTGCACGAAACGCATCGGGCAGTACGAGCACGCGTGCCGTGGACCCTCGTGGATTTGTACGTGTTCGCGGAATGAATCACGTTTCTGTATACAGAGCAATTTATTATAAACTTTATGTTGGTTTGCTTAAAGTCTAATATCAGTCCTTTTTGGGATTAAGTAATATTGTATTTAGGTTTCAACTTAATAACAGTGTTTAATACTCGTACTTAAAGTTCATTTTAGAACTACTTACCAAAAACGTTTTCCCGCAGTAGGTACAGGTATAATTCTGTTTGTTGGGCATGTGATCTTGTTTGTGCATGTATAGAGACGACTTGTACTGGAACGATTTGCCGCATTCATTGCATTCGAATGGATGCTGACCGGGGTGAGATATTAAGTAGTGAAGTTTTCTGGAACAAATACATTGAATCAGATTAGTAACAGCCCCAATGGTGTGAACTCTATAGCTCTCTATATGTCTTTCTATGAGTCTCTTTAGTATAAAGTCTTTAAAGTAATTATGAAATCTCTTAAGTCAGGTAAAGCTTTTGCTCTATCTAATTCAATGATGATGTAATATACTATGGATAGTGTTTCAGTTAATATATAGGTAGAGTATTTTACAACTTCTATGTATTGAAGTTGGCCCCAAAGTTGTTTATATGTCCATATAAATGATTCTTTATCAGTTAATGTTTTTTAAAGTAGTTCAGGAAATAAAAGAAAAGCTCACACAAATTTGATTAATCACTATTAAAATCAATTTTAAAAACTATTGTAATCTGGTAAATCTATACTACATACTTATTATAAAGAGGCAAAATTTGTAAGTTTGTATGTAGGGGGTAATGTATGTAACCGCTGGTCGGATTTCCAAAATTGTTAAGGGTTTGAGGATTGAGGATTGGTGAATTTGGGGAAACACAAGCGTTGTTTTAGGTCGGTTTTCTTTTGAAAAGGTATTTGCAAATCCCCACCTCTCATCCATAGTATGCAGTACTTGTCTGCAGAGCTTGCACTTGAACTTGCCGGGGCCGTGCGCTTGTGCCATATGCGCCCCACAAGCGCGCGAGCTGCTGAACTCGCGCCCGCATACGCTGCAGTCTGCCGCGCGCTCCGGACGTGCACGGGAAGTGTGCATCGACTGGAACCGATAGAACTTCCATATAATACCGTTTGCTACATTTATGGGCAATTTGCAAGACATAAATTACTTTTTGAAATAAGGGTAAAAACTCTAAAGAAATTGACGTAGTTTTGTAGATAAACAAAATGAGTGGTAAGTATTATGTTTCATACATTTTTCTTAATGATAATTTGATGATAACTGTTATATCTGTCATAACATCCCGTATTTTGATTTTACACCTCATTTCAATCGCCTTATACTTATTGTAAAAAATTATGTTCTTACCCGCACATGCAGTTTAAACGACTTTCTATGACTCAAAGGCTTGTACTGACAGGAGTTTAAGGAACAGAACACCTTCCTAGCTTCAGGGTGTTCACAGTTAAAGTGGCCTCGCATTTCCTCGATAGTTGGTAGTACTAGACAACAGAGGTAGCACTTGAGGAGGTACAGTGGAGTCTTCTCTGGAGTACAGTGCCTTTCAATGTAGTGGTGGACAAACCAGATCTGTGGATTTAATATAATTTTATGTACATTTCATTTGCAGGTTATAGATTCTGATATCTAAGTAAATCAACTATAAAGTAGCACACTCAACCTTTTTTAAGCAGTGACAATAACATAAACTAGTTTTTTTATCAATTTTAATACAAACATGTTGAAAAAAAATCTCACCTTATCACTATAAAGTTCATTACAGGTTTCACACTTGTAATAATCTTCTTTATGATTGAAATAATGCGCGCGAACCTGATGAGTCTCCCTGTCGGTTTCATGCCAAAACAGTGTGGGACAGTATCTGCACTTGAAACCTAAATGTGGGCTAAAACAATTGTCATATTCTACTAGATCCCAATGTTCAGTCAAATGACGGCGCGTCGATTCCCTATCATCAAACTCTTTATCACAAAACTGACATATCCACAGATCCTCAAAGTCTCCCAACTCATTTGTTATATGATTGTCTAGTTCGGTCTGGTTTTCAAACGGTGTCACACACACTCTACACGAAAATATGGGTGATGACTTTATGCAGTGCATTTTAAACATGTGTGCTGAAAACAGAGACAATGTACTGTACCTCACACTGCACAGGGTACACACTATATCCATAGTAATCTCAGTTGTAATCTTGTCATAATTGACATCAGAATATTCAAAGAACGACTTAGCATTGACCTCAGACAATATATCACTTATGTAATCATGGTAACATTTTTGTACAGCTACAAGTTCCAATGAAGTAACATCAAAGTCATCATCCCCATTGTAGTTCTTATAGACATCATCATAATCATCATCCTTTGGCTTTTCCAATCCATCATCAGTCTTAGTCTCATCAACAGTCACCACTTCTTGTTTGATTTCAGGTATCAGCACTTTGAGCAGGTCTTTGGTAGCATTCGGGTCAGTATCAATAGGGCAGCCAGCAGGTTTGAAGTCTGATTCTACATAACCATACCTTGGATGATTCTTCAATTGCTCCTCAACAAATTCTGGTCTGAGATCAGCTCCATATACGGTAAATGGCGGATCTCTGCCAGATATGAGATGTGTGAAGCATTTTAGGGTGAAATGGTGGTATCCCATGTAGTGGTTGAAGAATGTTCTAGTGGTGATATTGGTTTTGTTGCAGAGTAGGCATTGAAAGTTAGAGGTACCATCATACTCTAACTCCCAGAGACTCTCCTCATCTTTATTTGCTACATTACTTATGTTGTGCTTTTGGAATAAATGTGTATGGTAGGGGTCACCATCCAGGACCCTGAAGTGACAAAGTCTACAGTGAACTAGATTGTGAACAGTCTTCAAGTGGTGGCGGATTTCTACTTCTGTCTCAAAGTTCTGCACACACTGAGAACAAGGCCAAGGAGTGTGAAACTTTTGATGTTTCCACCATGAATCTCTGTCAGGCACAAAATATCTGAAAGAAAAATTGTTTTCTATAAAAGTCTAACTACAATCTTTTTAGAATAATTATTATTTATCAATTTTCCCTAAAACATGTAGATGCCCCTTTTTCACAGAACCATGTACTTCATTTGTTTCTTTCATCTGTCAATTTGTATGATATACTGTAATTATTACAAACACAAAATAAGCCCAGGTTTATTTTATGTAACTTCCATCATAATCATATGGATTCAGGAAAAAAATGTCTTACCTACAAATACCGCAAAAGTCCTTCTTATGATTCAAAACATAGTGAATAATAATTTTCGATCTGTTTATGAACCAATCTGAGCAAAGCAAACAGCTGTAAGGACCTGCTGGGTTAAAATCCTTTAAGTATAACCACACGTCCGCAGGCCGTTCTATCACTGGTGGCTGGTCTGTCTTCTTACGTTGAAGCTTTATAGTAATCGAAAGCCGCTTTGGAGGAGATACTTTCTTTTTCTTCTTAACTGGAACCAGAGTAATCTCGGCTGACTCTTCAGCAGCTTGTTCTCTTTTATTAGCCGCTATCACGGATAGCGGTTCATCATCGGACTCGTCCGAAGTCATCTCTTAGTTCGATATTTCGAGTTATCGCCAAAAATATTATCTTTATAGATTGAAGCACATAACAATTATCGCGACAAACAAACGCTACGCTAGCTGGTTGATAGGTATTATATCAACAACACCTGTCAAAATCAGTCAAAAATCGTTCTCCATCAAATCAAGTGGTAAAGGTTGACATTGACAGCGAACAATGTATTGATCGGTAAAAAATACATGGGAGATAACTTTGACGCTTGGTCGCTTCTTTTTCTTATTGTACTGAAAAGAAAGAGATGACTGATCAATTTCTTTAGCAGCTTCGACTCAAGTTAACTTTAAATGTCAAAGCCCTGGAACGTGATCTGAACAGATAAAAGAAAAGAAAAAAACTAGCTACAAAGAATATTATTTTATTAAAAATAACTTTAGTCATTAGGTTTTTTTTTTCTATTTTCTAGAAGTAATTTTTCTCTAAATAAATAATTTCAAAACATAGACTACTGGATATTTAGAATTCGACGGAAAACGTTTCGTTTTTCAAGATGAAGCAACAAATATTTTAATATCTTATCACGCAAAAATGTTATACTTAAGTCGCTGTACAACGTCTATTTAACAGATTATTTATTGTACAAATTACTATAGTATTCATCTTAAATACTAGGCTGTAGTGTATAATACACAGAAATTACGGATATAATCATTGTCTAAAACTGCATGAATTGGAACGATTCGCAAAAATATCCTTTCGTGGCAGCCATTTTATAGAATTAGAGTTTGTTTATGGTAAGCCAAAGAAAGGCGAAGCTAAACAAAAGGCTAGCATGTAGATAGCATTTCCTAAAATAACAGTAAATTTTGCATAAATACTGACTCGAAAGACTTATTTTAATGATATATTAAAGTGAACTAATTACTTTTACTACTTGTGTATCAATTATGATCATAAAATGAAGCACAATGCATCGTGTAATGGTGGCCATTAAAAGTAATAATTATGTATATTGGCATACTTACTGCTCTACGGACCAGCAAATAAACATCTAAAGGATTACAGTGACTGCTTTATTGTAAATTACTACTGAACAACATGTAAACCCAAGTGATATTAGTGATATGTGAGAAAGGAACAGTGCTTAGTGTAAATAGACCATTTGGCACGAACCATGGCCCAGAATCAGGGGGAGGTTCAAGTGGGAACACCGAGCCAACCCGTAAAGGAGAAAGACATTTACGCCTGTTTGCCTGATATGCGGACGAACGGGCCGCTTGGACCTGACGAACCTTGTCCTGGTGGTGAAGAACTCCGCTGGCTGCCCGCTCAGGCTACGGACCGTGATCTGGTTATGTACTTGAGAGCTGCGCGCTCTATGGCTGCATTTGCTGGTATGTGTGACGGAGGCTCCCCAGACGACGGATGTGTCGCAGCGAGTCGCGACGATACCACTATCAACGCTCTGGATGTGCTTCATGACTCAGGGTACGACCCTGGTCGTGCTTTACAAGCTCTTGTTAAGTGTCCAGTTCCCAAAGGAATTGAGAAAAAGTGGACAGAAGAAGAAACAAAAAGGTTTGTGAAAGGGATCCGGCAATTTGGTAAGAATTTCTTTAAAATTAGAAAAGACCTATTGCCTCATAAAGATACTGCTGAGTTAGTTGAATTTTATTACTTGTGGAAGAAGACTCCTGGTGCTAGTAGCAATAGGCCACATAGGAGACGACGTCAGGCATCTCTCAGACGTGTACGCAATACTCGCAATTCTCGTGCTGGTACTCCCAAAGAGCAGACTCCTGAAGCTACACCCACAGTGCCAGATACTAACGGTTCAAGACCATCACCTAATCCTAAAGAAGCAGGCGAGATGAGTTCAGTGACAGAAGATGAAAATTCTGAAGAAGATAGTGATTCTAGAGATGCTGGTGACTTAGCTAAAGTGGACACAGCAAGGCCTGAAAACCCAGACGACTCTCCAAGTCGAATGAGAACCCGTAATAAATCAAAAGAGCAAAATACACCCAGCACTCCCAATGGGAAGAAAGGTCAAGATGAAAGTGATAATGATGCAAAAGCCAAACCTAAACCTAGTAAACCAAATGTACAAACTACCAATAACAATACAGCTGAAAAAAGTATATCATCTCCGGTGAGCAAGGATATCAAGAAAAAGGTGGTGACAAATGGAAAAGTAGATGTATCAAAAGTTAAGAAACGTCTTCCAGATGATACAAAGCCAGAGAGCATTTTAGATGGTGATGTACAGATGAAAAAGAAAAAGGCATTGGAACCTCCAGATAGTCCTGCAGAAAGTCTTACCAATGATAGTTTCCCTGCAATGGATGAAACTGAAACTCCAGAGCCTGAGCCAGAAGCATGTGATTTCAGTTTTAATAAGAGTGACAAAGAGAGTACTGAACATAACAAAGAACCAGAAGCAGAACAGCACATAAAATCTGCTGACCCTCAAGTGAAAGTTGAAAATAATCCCGATCCCGTCGTTAAAACAGAGAAGGATCCTGTGCCTCCTACTTTCCAAGTGGCTACTGAAAAAGATGAACGTAATGCTCTGGACTTAAAAACTGATCCAAACACAGTTGCAAATAAAATTCCTGAAAACATGGAACCAAGGCCTCTGGTTATGCAAAATCCCATGTTTCCTAAAACAGAACTTATCATACCAAAAGTTACACCTATGTGTACAGATCCTATTGAGAAAATTAAAATAAAGGAAGAAATAGATACTGATGAAACATTAAATCTGCAGAAAGAGGACTTCCCAAAAGATCCCTTATCACACAATTTCCCCGGACATCCTGTAAACCAACCAAACAAGCCACTTAATTTGGAAAATACTAATTTCTTTGTAAAAGACAGCCACATTTATAATCCCAAATTAGGTCACAGCATCAAAATTGAAAATGTATCTAATAATATCTTCAACCCTTTAAATATAACAAAGGACAGCTCAATCATAAGAAGTGCTAAAGATTTTACATCTGGCATGCCACCATTTTCATATCCACCTAACATGAACTTTGGAAATGATCCTTCTAAGCATAATCCCCATATGAATCCACTTAAGACAGTGATCAAACTAGAGCCGAGAGATGAAACCAGTGAAATGAAAAATCAAAATACAGCTGAAATCTTTACTGCAACAATTTCGTCAGGTAACAAAGTAGATTCACCAAATGCACCACGGTTAGACTCATTACAGAGAATGAGTCCAACACCTACAAATCCTCGTGGATCATCACCACCTCCAATGGAACATCCAACAACTTTGAATACAGAGCCAATATCACCAGCAAACTCGCAAGAGAATAAAGAATCTGATGTAGATGACAAACAACCAACAGACTTGAAGACTCAACCTGTGCCCAAACAAGATTCTCAAAGCAGCAATTTGAGGCCTCCCTCATTTCCACATCCAGTTAGACCAGAAAATCTCGGAATTAGGTCAACTGAAGCATCAATTACACCAGTTTCTGTGCAAAATATGCCTCCTCCACTCACTCAACCCTCAATTGCTGGCTTGTTACCACCTGGACCTTTGATATCTGTTGGGAATGGTGCTAATGTAGGTCCATATGGTTTTATGCCTACAGCATTGTATGGTCACGGAAGTCACCCTGGGCATCCAGGTCTTGATAAGCCTGGTTCAATGCCACCTTTAATGCCACAACATCCCCCCTCCCACAGTATACAGGGAAGTAATCTAATTTCAACACCAGGAAATCAAACAGACCCATCAATGCCACAAGATTTGAAAATAAAACAAGAGGTGCCTGATAATGTGCCAGCTAATTTATCTACTCAGCAAGTTGATCCACTTCAATCACTCAAAGAAGTGAAAGTGCCAGGATATCCCATTGGAAGTGCAATAGCGCAACATTTGAACACTGAAAGAGACCGTGAATCAATATCTAGTGTGGAAAATAACAGCAGACCACCCAGCCAGCCTGCTAACGAAAGCGCTAACATGTCTAGTGCTTTTCTTGGTCCAAGAATTGAGAGTATTAAGAAAGAACCTGACTTTTTACACCAACCTCACTTGCCACCTACTTCAACGAGTCAGAGCAGCTCTGAGTCGTCGAGTCATGTTCCTCCTGTCAAGAGTCCACACACGCCGACACCTATTAAAAGCCAACCGGGACACAATGGGACGCCAATGCATATTGCTCACTCATCTGCTACAACATCGCCATTCTCAAGGCATTTGACAAGTCCCTCTCAGCCAAGACAAATTTCAGCATCACCTGTTCAACCGAACACACCAGTATCACATTCGGCACTGAACTTGATGAATCCGACGCCTTTGTCAATACCAGCGACAATACCTGGCCCTGTCATGCATTCTGGTCAACAACCACATCCTTTTGCTTCGCCGCTTCACCATCCACATTTACTTCATCCATCTATCTTTCAACTATCTGCAGCGGCAGCTCATGCTATGCATCCATATTATCCCCACCCACATCCTGGATATTCAATGCCATATCCTTATCCTTATGGGCCATTACCTCAACCACATCCAATACCACCTATGCACCCTGCAGTAAGCACTGCCGGGCGTCATGACCCAGTCAAACCTTCGACAATAGAATCAACGACGATGCTCAGCTCACATCACAGTCACAGCACTAGTTCATCCGTTACAACGAGATCTCTTAGAGAAATTTCTGAAAGCTCGGAAGATCCCAGAAATCCTAACGCTACGACTGAAAGACATCAACTGCATGAGACGACGATGACTCATCATCACTCAACAAGTCATCACAGCGCTGTTCATACCAGTACAGAGAAACAACCGAGCCATGTTGGAGGTGGCACTAACCACACATTGTCTATATCACATTCTACATCGAGCAGCTCGTCGCAATCGATCCAGCATAAAATCAATACTCAGCAAAAGAGTAGCTCCCACTCAAATTCCCCGCACCACTTGTCGGCAAGCGTGTCTCAAACGACCAGCTCATCATCAAGCGTGAATGTTACGAACAACCACAACCACACGCATCATCATTCACACCACCTGGCACACCACCCTGAGCGACTTTCGCCAGCTGATTCAATGCTAATGCGTCATCATCCGAAAATGCTTCCGGGTAATCCAAATCATT